GTTTTGGGGTCACCTTGGTCATGTAGTAGACGCTCTGCTGGAACGTGGACATGATCACCTCGTCCAGCACCCCCAAAGCCTCGTCACAGCTCTCCAGGTCCCGCTCCAGCTCGGGGCACGGCCCTAAAAACCACGGGATTCACCCCAAAATCCGGGATCAACTCCTAAATCTGTGATCAGCCCCCCGAAATCCGGGATCAGCCCCAAATCCCACGGGATTCACCCCAAAATCCGGGATCAGCCCCGAAATCTCACGGGATTCACCCCAAAATCCGGGATCAGCCCCAAAATCCGGGATCAGCCCCCGAAATCCGGGATCAACCCCAAATCCCACGGGATTCACCCCAAAATCCGGAATCAGCCCCAAATCCCACGGGATTCACCCCAAAATCTGTGATCAGCCTCCGAAATCCGGGATCAGCCCCAAATCCCACGGGATTCACCCCAAAATCTGGGATCAGCCCCCCGAAATCCGGGATCAGCCGCAAAATCCGGGATCAGCCCCAAAATCCGGGATCAGCCCCAAAATCCGGGATCAGCCCCGAAATCCGGGATCAGCCCCCGAAATCCGGGATCAGCCCCCGAAATCCGGGATCAGCCCCGAAATCCGGGATCAGCCCCCCGAAATCCGGGATCAGCCCCCGAAATCCGGGATCAGCCCCAAATCCCACAGGATTCACCCCGAAACACACTATGGCCGCAGTGCAGCCCCAAAATCCCCCACTTGGACCCCAAAACAGCCCCAAAAGGATCCCAAAGCAGGGGCAGGAGCCCTCCCAGTCTGTCCCAGTGTCCCCCAGTACGGTCCCAGTCCCTCCCAGTCTGTCCCAGTGTGTCCCAGTGCTCCCAGTATGTCCCAGTCTCTCCCAGTATGTCCCAGTGTTGTTCTCAGTCTGTCCCAGTGTCCCCCAGTATGTCCCAGTACGGTGTCCCAGTGCCACCTTCGGTCTCCAGCTGGCTCTCCAGCCCCTGCAGGTGGCCCAGTCAGTCCCAGTCTGTCCCAGTCTGTCCCAGTATCCCCCAGTACGGTGTCCCAGTCTCTCCCAGTCAGTCCCAGTACGGTCCCAGTCTGTCCCAGTATGTCCCAGTGTCCCCCAGTTTGTCCCAGTGCCACCTTCCGTCTCCAGCTGGCTCTCCAGCCCCTGCAGGTGCCCCAGTCTCTCCCAGTACGGTCCCAGTCCCTCCCAGTACGGTGTCCCAGTGCTCCCCAGTATGTCCCAGTCAGTCCCAGTCCGGTGTCCCAGTGCCACCTTCCGTGTCCAGCTGGCTCTCCAGCCCCTGCAGGTGCCCCTGCGCGAGGTTCAGCAGCTCCAGGGCGTTCGCGAGCCAAAGCAGCAGCGGCCGCAGCTCCGCGGTGACCGCGGCCAGGTCCGGGGGAGGAGGGGGCTCCGCGTCCGGNATATAAAATCCTACAGAATTGCTGCTAAAATTTTGGGGTTTTTTGCTCATAAATCAGAATATTTCACCCGAATTGACACCCCAATCCCAGAACAAACCCCAAACTGGTGACGTACCCAAATCGCGGACGATCTCGCGGACCATGAAGCGCAGCAACCATTGAGAAATTCCACAGGATTTGCACTAAAACCTCGGGATTTTTCCCATAAAATCAGAACATTCCACCCGAATTCATGCCCCAATCCCAGAACAAACCCCAAATCCCAGCCCGTACCCAGGTCCCGGACGATCTCGAGAACCATGAAGCGCTGCAACAGGAATTCATCCTGAGAAATTCCGGGATTTACAGTAAAACCTCGGAATTTTTGGTTATAAATCAGAACATTTCACCCCAAATTCACACCCCAATCCCAGAACAAACCCCAAACTGGTGTCGTACCCAAATCGCGGACGATCTCGCGGACCATGAAGCGCAGCAACCATTGAGAAATTCCACAGGATTTGCACTTAAACCTTGGGGTATTTCCCATAAAATCGGAGCATTCCACCCAAATCCACACCCCAATCCCAGAACAAACCCCAAATCCCAGCCCATACCCAGATCCCGGACGATCTCGCGGACCATGAAGCGCAGCAACAGGAACTCATTCTGAGTCATGTACAAAATCCTGCAGGATTTCCACTAAAACCTCGGGATTTTTCCCATAAAATCAGAACATTTCACCCCAATTCACACCCCAATCCCAGAATAAACCCCAGAAAAGCTCTCTGTACCCAGATCGCGGACGATCTCCCGGACCATGAAGCGCAGCAACAGGAATTAATTCAGAGACACATCAAAAACCCCATGGAACCTGCAAGATTTCTGCTAAAATTTTGGGGTTTTTGGTAACAAATCAGAACATTCCACCCGAATTCACGCCCCAATCCCAGCAGAAACCTCAAATCCCAGCCCGTACCCAGGTCGCGGACGATCTCGCGGACCATGAAGCGCAGCAACCAGGAATTCATTCTGAGTCGCGTATAAAATCCTGCAGGATTTGCACTGAAACCTCGGGATTTTTCCCATAAAATCAGAACATTTCACCCGAATTCACACCCCAATCCCAGAACAAACCCCAAACTGGTGCCGTACCTAAATCGCGGATGATCTCGCGGACCATGAAGCGCAGCAACAGGAATTCATTCTGAGTCGTGTACAAAATCCTGCACAATTTCCACTAAAATCTCGGAATTTTTGCTCACAAATCAGAATATTCCACCCGAATTCACGCCCCAATCCCAGAACAAACCCCAAATCCCAGCCCGTACCCAGGTCGCGGACGATCTCGCGGACCATG